AATTAAAATAGACATATAATATCTTAAAGTATTTAAGATATTATATGTCTATAATATCTTAAATACTTATATCTTATCTATATAATATATAATATCTTAAAGTATTTAAGATATTATTTCTTCCCTAATATCAACTCTAAGGAACTGTACCATTCGCAGCCGAATATTAATATTTCAGAAGTGATCCTTGTTAGACAGGTTGTGATGACCCCGTGAAGTTGTGAAAGTTAACGTCTGAAAGACTTGATTCCGGGCTGTAATTTTTAATCATATTTTTCTTTTATTTAATTTAATATAAAATCTATTCTCTCTACCTGAAATTAGTAGTGTATTCTTTCTGTACATCATATTTCTTTCTAACAGTAGAGTTGTGCAGGTCATCTACCTAACACTTTTTAGAGGAATACGTTCAAAGTAAAATAACGTGTCTTTCGATTTGTCTCAGAAATTCGTATATTGTTAATCGGGACCTCCTAGCATTAGGATTTTCTCCTTTCCTCATCTTTCATACTTTGTTTTTCAGATTTAAAAACAACAGTAGGAATTTATAGGTCTATAATTTTTTTAAATTGCATCCAAAATTCTTGTAAAATGATGAAATAATTGCTTTTATGCTATAATAAAGTGTTTATATTTTTGCAACAAATCGTATAAACTACGTGAAAAATAGATTCTCTTAAATATGGTATTTAAGGAAAAGTTATTGGAATTAGTTTATTCTTTACTATCGACTGGGCCATCATTCTGTTTCAATATTTGTATTCCGAACAGCCGAACGATCGCGATGAATCAATATAAGAAATTTACTCTCTTTTGGTAAGAAAAAGTAATCATGTTCAATTGAGTATTTTTTCATAAATCGGAACAGTTTCATGAAAGTTCATACATCAAAAATTAAAAGAAAAACTTAACTAAACATCATTGGTGTAGCTACAAATTTTCGCACTTGCGGGACTTCGCATACGTGTTTGCGCCGAAAGCTAACGCCCGTTTTCTCCAAGTTATGTCACTTTTCTTTAAGAATAACAATTAAAGGGTATAACGGAGAAATCTTGCCAGTCCATTAGTGCTAGTTATAAACGAGTTCGACTGCACTTGAATATAAGATACACGTCGTAAATAAGGATGTAATGGTAAACTGCAAACTCCAAACCAACCAGGAATTAAATAGCCCAATTTTCTTAGGATTAAGGCAAACCTATATAAATTTGCCAAATAGTGCCAAACTTTTAAAGATTAATAGACTAATATTATAATATATCGTTAATTTGCAAATGAAAACTGTCGTAACTTCGTTAACTTCACAATCCCTACTTTTATCCGATTTTGTCCCCCGATTTCGATTTTGTCCGTGATTTTGTTTATTTATACTCAATTGACGATAAATAAACAAATTGATAAACTGATATGTTAAAGTAAAAAAAAATTGTAACTGGGTGAATTTTAGCTTTAACTCTGCGGAGTTTTACGTGGCAAGTTGCCATGGAAGCAGTTCGTATGAAATGGATGACGTCAGTTTATACATTATTTTATTTTTAAATAACGTAATGTATAAAAGTATTGATGAAACTCAACAGATTTTCTCTGTAATTAAAGAAATGTTTTCTTCGTTCAAAGTCATAAATTCTTCAATAAAAATAAAGCGATTCGTTGCAATTGCAAATAAATTAGGAAATTAAGACCAATACAGTCAGTTGTTAAAAATTCTATTAAAATATACAGAAAATTTTATGATATTTGTGCACATTTGTTTGTCTCTATATGTATCGATATTCGTTCATGTAACTTTATACAACTATATAGATGAACCAAACGAAATAAGCTACTATTGCCAGCGTGTCAATGTTTCTTTTCTTCAAAATTATAAAAATAAAATTAATAAAATATTGTATCATTTTTTATAATTATAAAATTATCAAAAAATCGCAGACAAAAGTTAGTTAAACTATATTTATACAGCATGAAAACAACAGTTTCTTTCAGGCCGAGTACTTTAATATTTAACCGATTTATTAATGAAAGCCTGTTCTGAATTTTTTCTTAATATTTCAGAATAAACTTAAAGAATTACTAATTATTTTTCATACAGCACAAGTTCGTGATTGATAACGGTTTCCTATTTTCAACAGGGACTGACATAGCAAAGGTCATTTTTACAGAAAAAACAAAAAAAAAAAAAAAAAAAAATGGAGCTCCATTGGACTTCAGTAAGTCCTAGACCCCAAAATACTTAAATCCACCCCTGCACACATGCACAACAGAAAAGTTAAAATATTTGTAACAGCAGAAATTTCATACATTATTATTTTTAAATATTTTGTAATTTATTTTAAGAAATATTTAAAATTCAAATTTTTGTCAGTTATCTTGGAAGGTAAGTAAAAAACATTAAGTATAATTAACATTGTACTATACTGTTTTAATTGATATTAAAATATTTTATTATAAATACAATTATTATTGAAGTTAATTGAGAAGTATATAATTCTTTTTCAAAACTGCTAAAATTACAACATTCAGTATTTCTTATTTACAGTTCTGCCATTCTCTAAATACGAGCTTGCTTACCACCAGTGAAGACAATGATATGACAGAAAACTTACTAAAATTATTTTATGCTTAAGATTAATTAACTCTAAAAATGAGAAATTCTAGAATTGCAGAACCATAGGAGTTGCATTTTTACATAAATATAAGAGATAGCTAACACATAGTTTAACTTTAATTTAGATTTAAAACTGGAATTTGTCAACTCTAACTCAACCTTGGCTTTAAACATTTAAAGCCATTATCCTAATTTTGAAGTTTTTAGAAACACGATTCTGAATGTGATACTGCTAAGTACAACTTTGGACTTGCAGAATATCAAAACAAGATATATTGTTTTGGTATTACTTTTCTATCAATACTCAGAATAATTACGGTTTTATCATTTTGCCTAATATTTGAGATAATTATTCTCAATATGTTATATCAAACCATAAGTCAATCACATAATGACACACGTGACTAATTTGGATAATTACATTTAGGTAGAGTTGCCATATATCTTGATTTTTTTGGGATCATCCAATTTGGAACACTTTGTCCCAAATGGAAAATTTTTTCAGAATGTCTTGATTTGTCCATTTCTATCTGAAATTATTCTGATTTATATTTTAAAAAATCAAATATTGCCTGAGTAGGTATCTTCAGATGTTATATGCATGCATACTCCACCTGTCCATACATGCATGCCTTTAGTAATCTGTGGTGCATGTATCATATTCTGTTGGCCCTGTGTTAGGGTGATCAGACATTCTTAATTTCCAGGAACTGACTCTGGTTTTGCCTGTTTTTAATATTTGATTGTAAAAACCAATCTTTAAATAAAACAATTTATTAACACATCAATATATCATGATAAATTTATAAATCAATAAATTTTTAAAAAAAATAACTGAAGTTCAATCAATTTTGGAGCCCCATTTTTACTGGTTCTGAAATGTGTCCTAGTTGCATTGCAAATAACATGATCCTCCTATCTGTGTAGTGCTATATGGTGGTTTCAAAATTATTGATGGTTTCATGATGACAGATCAATGATTACAACTGGGCATAGTCTAGCTTCTATTTTTTATTTATTTTTTTTTTACATTCTCCACTCTCTGGGACTAAGAGGATCTTTAATTTTAATTATGTCCATCATGAGTTCAGCCATATCCACAATAGGAGCAGCTGGACTTTCTAGCAAAATCTTAGTTTAAATATGAAAGTCAAACAAGTATGATTGGTTCAATAAATAATAAAAAATACTCAATAATTGTTGTCAATAAAATTAGTTTAATTAGAATTAGTCACTTATTTTCCAGAATGGCTACTGCTACTGCCTATCTAATGCCAGGTAGCCATCAAATTTTACTAGAATAGTGAGAGTCTGGGAAGATAACACTCCCACTTCATCTCCCACTAAAATTCATGTTAAATATTTTTTAATAAAACAAAAAGGTGAAAGATAGGAAGCGATTTTTTTAATGAAAAACACAACATGAACATATAAACAATATAAGAATTTAANAGCAATAATGAAAAATCTGAGTAGGGCTTTTCTCGGCTTTCATAGCACTCGAATGAGAGGATAAAGAAATCAGGAAGAATGTCTGATAACACTATTTAACAAATAAAATAAAAACAACAACATTTATGAAACTTATATATTATACGAGTATATAGTCATATAAAAAACTTTTTATGAATATGGCAAACATAATTTTCGAGCACGTAAATATTTTCAGTTTAAGAATGTCATTTACCTCTTGTTTATCACAGATGGCACCCAAATTTTCGGAAAAAATAATTGAAATGCGGATGTAAATGTGTAGTTTAAGCGCCATCTTCCAACTATTTTTCTGTTGCCAAAAACTGTCACAACTTTTTTAAAAAAACATACATGCACTTTGATCATCGTCATTCAATTTTTGACTAAATTGTGAATCATGTAGTGATTTTTTTATTTTGAAATATTCCTTCCTTCATTAAGATTAGCTTTACTTAGTTTTGAAACATCTAAGATATTTAAAAGCCTAGCCTTGTTTAACCTGTGCTTTGACGAAGGTTTTTATTAATCCAAGATTTATATGCAGAGGGAATAACAAAAAATTTTTTGGGATTATCTAGGCGAATATTCTTTCACTTAGCTTGACCTGAAACAATTTCGTCTCTCTAAGGCTATTCTTTTACTCTAAAATTATTTATTAGATGAATTACAAAATCATAACAAAGAGACGTTCAAAGAAAATGGCTGTAAACATTCTGAAATTTTCAATTATAAAACGATATAAAATTAAAATACTAGCAAAAGATTAAAGCAACTAATTTAGTTGAATTACGATTGAAATTTGAAAAATGTCATCTCTCTGTTTAACGGCTTATTAATGTTGTTATAATTGGTGGAAACAGATGGATCGAACATGGAAAATCCACGTGTACGCGTTGTACCTGTATCATTGGATGTGTATAGATATCGCCTTCTGCTCGTGGTAACTCATTCTAAACTCGTTTAGATAGCTTCGAAGATGAACTCGTTGTTGATGATCACTGCTTGTTTGGTCCTATTCGGTGAGTATGAACTTATAATTGATTAAATTGGTTGTTAATTTTTTAAATGGGATCATTTATTAAAAAGTTATGAAATTCGCGTTATATTTATTACATTGTATTGTATTTTTTGTGGAAATAAAAACACTCGCAGATTATAGCTTGTTCTTTCATATATGACTTAAATCCAAATTCATATTTACAGAAAAATTTCGTTGAAAATTTATAAAACTTCAGATAAACTCATTCCAGTGTTTCAGAAATTAGAACGATTTGTATTAAATTGATCGAAATGCCGTAACTTTTATTAAAGTTAAATTATTTACGTATTATGAGATCTGCATTTGAATGATGGATAGCAATCTGCCAAGAAACACAACGGCAATCTGCCAAGAAGGTATTCTTTTCAGGGGGATATTCTACGGGTCACTAATCTGTATTGTTCTAATTTCTATCTCTATTACTCTATCTCTTTAATCTCTATTTAAGAGTTAAACGTGTAAAGTAAATCAGTTTAATGGTGTTGCTACTTGACCAGTGATGGTGTTTTTATTTAAGTGTGAATATGTTAGCAATATTTTTAATTTAGTGCTATTTGATTTATAGAATTGTCTAAGCATTTGCTGTCAATCTATCCTTTGACTTGAGAGAAGTGCGGTAATAGAATAACATTATAAATTCGGATTTACAAGAAATTGCATCTTCAAGATTTTCATTATAATGTCGTTTTCCTGGCTAGATAAGTCGCTGATTAAAAGAAGGTTACGAATCATCTTCCTAGTGTTTAAAATTCGTATTCATAGTTTCCTAGCATATTTATAATCAGGACTATTTTCAGTTTTTATAGGTCATGTGATACAATAATAATGTACTTTTTTTTACACATTTTGATTGCAAAGCATTAAATATTTTAATTTTATTCTATTAATAAGTACAATAAAATTAAAATATTCAATGCTTTGCACTCAAACTGTTGAACAAGACTATTTCTTTGTATTTGTTGCAGGAACAGTCTGGTCAAAGAAAGGTTATCTGGTGCATGAGGACACGGGCTGCAGATACAAGTGCACTTTTTCGGGAGAAAATAGTTACTGCGATAAGGAATGCAAGAGCCAAGGAGGTGATTCTGGCATTTGCCAATCTAAGGCGTGTTATTGCCAAGGTTTGCCCGAAGATACAAAGACTTGGCCCCTTATTGGTAAATTATGCGGCAGAAAATAATGGCTTCGTCTTTTTATTGTTCACCAACAAAAATATTGTAACGCTTCTTAATTGCAATTAAATGAAATAAAATGTGATACCTTCATCTAAAATATGTTTATTATGTGATATACAGTTTACAGAATACAGAAGTATTATGAATATTTTTCGCACGAAATCATTTAACTTTTAATTATAAAAAATAATACTGTATTTTTATTTTTCTATTAATGAATCTAGCCAACTTGATCCGAAAAACAAAGGACCTAATTAACTCGTTTATTAGTCTAAATTTAGATTTATAAAAATTTCTTGAATATAAATGTGAGGGTTCTAGCCGGGAATACAAAGTTGGTAAAACCCATCTACCGCTTAATCGACTGCGCTGTTGGAGAAACAGGCCCGCTGTCGTCTAAGGATGGATTCCTAAGACGTTTATTATGACCAGGGCTCTTGTGAACTTTAGGACGTTGGTTTATCCTGACACCAGATAGTCAATTTCCACATATATAGCAAATATATAATTTAATAATCTGTCCTCTTATGTCCTTCTATATAAATGGAGAAGAATTGAACATAGTTAATAAAATTAAATTTTCGAAAATAATATTTACCCCAAATGTATCATTCGAAAAACAATATAAAAAATAGTGCTTAAAGCTAATAATTTAATAAATTATCTAATTATAGTATTCAGTAAGGCTAAGGTAAAGAATTTTCAAATACATATTCTACTTTTTAATACAATAATTATAAAATGAATAGGCTATGCGGCTCCAATTTGGAATATTAATAATTTTAATAAATTTGAAAAAATTCAAAATAAATTTATTTGTAGAATTTTTCAATTAGAAAATAATATCCCAGGAAGTGCCTTAAGATTGGAAATAGAAAGATTTAAATTAAATACCAATTAATAAAAAGATATATAAAGTTTCTAATAAAATTTAAAACCGCAGAAAATCTATGAACGAAACTATTATATTTATTATATCAAAAATCAATGGATAAAGAATTAAGTAGAAATTGGATATTGCAATTATCGAAAATATTAAATAGTTATGATTTTTCCATGGGATTATTCATGGAACAAATGGACACAAATGAATATCAAAGTCAATTATTAATACAAAGAATACTGGAATATTCCACAGTTAAAGATATCGAAGATATACAGAAAAGAATAAATCCTGACTGGTATAGAATAATTCTAGATTTATCATTTAATAATAATTATATTTTTACGAATTTAGCATTTAATGTCAAAAGATTTTGATACAGCTTAGACTAAATAAAAATTGGATAATGATGAATAATAAATTCTTAGATTATTTACAATCCAATTGCCCAAGATGTAATAAAATATTATCTAAGTTTTATATTTTTTGTAAATGTAAAGAAGCAAAAGAGATTATTTAAAAGACTGACATGTATATATTATTAAGTTGCTCCAATGAAAGTACAATGTATGAGTTCTTTGATAGAGCAGAAATAAACATTATTTATAATATATATAATTATGCGAAGCAATTTTGAAAAAATAAAAACAATTCTTAAAGGTATAAAAATATATATAATGTGTATAATGAGTAAGATTTTTGTGTTTTTATTTAAAAGTATAAATTATTAAAGTAAAGTTAAAAATCAAAAAGTAATTCTTATATGAATGAAAAAGCAAACTGTTTCATGGTAAGATTAATGTGTAACATACTGCAAAATTATTTGTAATAGATGGTAAATAACTATGTATAAAGTCTGTTTGTAATAATGGTTTATAAACCTAATACTGTGTTGATTAAAAATTAGTGATAACAAATTACGCCTTATGTAACAGGCGGGAAGCCTTATAACGACTAACAAAGATTAAATTGAATTGAATTGAATTGAAATTACAGCCAATCTTACTGGTTTTCACTGAATGCAAGAATTAGGTCTTTCTTCAATCGAGACAAATTAGAGGAGTTTTAAATAGATGTAAAAATATGTTAGATTTTCCAAAAAATGCAAAAAACCGTATTTAAAAAATAACAGCAGAAACCAAGTTTTTCAGGGTGATTTTTTATTTCCTTTCACCGCAAAAAAAGAATTTCGAAAAATCACTTCTTATTGTACATTTTCATACTATACCCTAATTATGTACCAAATTTCAACTTTCAACTCGTAATCCTTTGGGTTCTGCGCTTTTTATTGTTATTATTATCTCGGTTATATATAGGCTTATCTCGATTATATATAGGTCTATATATCATATATAAATAAATATCTGTAATAACGTAGTATAACTTAATGTAACACAAAGAATTCAGATAAAGAAATAGATGAAATAAACATTCAAAACAACAATAATTGTTTATTTTTCCAACAAATAAATATGCATAGCAAATAGCGGTTTATTAATCTAAATATATAAAATTGCTTGTCCTGACTGACTGACTGACTGAATGACTCACTCATTCACTCACTGATTCATCATCGCCCAATGCAGACCGCTTAACCTAAAAACGTGAAATTTGGTAGACAGTTAGGGTACGTCATGGAAACGCACACTATGAAGGGATTTTCTAAATTATCCGCGGGGGGAGAGGGAGAGCATTAAGGCTTAACCGGAAGAACGGCTTTTACTGTACTATTTTAAAGGCGATTTTTTGTTTTCAACTACATTTAGTCTTCATTAAGTATTAGGTGTATTAAATTGATAACCTTTCAGACATTGTTATAAATATTTTTATCTATTTCAATTTTTAAAATGTTCGAATTGTTTTAAATTCGAATTCGTTATTGCGTATCGATTCGATTATAGAACGATTGTAAACGCTCCAGAAAATTGATCAAATTGAAAATAGTTCGTTTGATTCTCGGCAATTCTCTTCAGCTGTAGGTGTTATATAGACCTAACTTGCAAAACCTCCGCGGACGAAGTCGCGGGTAACAGCTAGTCTATATATATAATCGAGACGGATTGATAATGATAATAATAATAATTAGCAAGTACAAAGAACTCGCCCAGGAAATAAGGCATCTGTGGAAGATAAATAGGGTGCTTATTTTACCTGTTGTTCTCTCCTGTACAAGTGTGATACACACACATACATATGACTACAGAAGGCCACTATATTGAATACATGTCATATTGTTAGGAAATTCCTGAATATAACACTGACAATGACAACTTATTTAATTTTAGTTTTGTTTTGGTTGCTATGCATTGACTCTGGTCCGGCTTAGTACACTGCCAGGGATGTTGACCGAGTATAACCTACTAAACACAATAGTAATAATAATAACTCTCCCTTCGTCACTACTTTCTCGTGGTGGGAGAGACCAGTAATTTTATTGAACCATAGGGACACCACGCCAGTAAGGTCTATAGGGAGTAGTAAAGCTAAGAGTGACCACACCCACATTCTGTGGAGATATTTATCATGGTAATAACCAGATCAAAGTAGGATACCAGCTCGGACGTCGCCTGGGTTAACAAGGCTTGCGTTCCTGGATTAGGCAGAGGCTAACGTTCAAAAAATAGGCCACAGTCTCCCTTGCTTACTGGTGGCGAAAGCAGCACCGGCCCAAGCATGGCTACTGCAATGTCCTCAAGAGATGTGAGGAACCAACCTAGCCTTGGTGTTTTTGCGGCAAAGCATTCACAGAGCAACAAAGTCTGGAAAACCACGCCAACGAATGAAATGGACAACAGAAATGAACGAGTTTATCATCCGTGCTTATTACACCATCACAAAACTCAAAACAAACATATTCGCATACAGACAACAACTACACCATAGATTCACACAACAATATCCTTACCTCACTGTCACCGAACAAAGGATTGTCGATTATAAAAGAACAATTATACACAACAACCTTATCCAACAAACCACACTTGTACTTATCAAACAACAGGTTGCTGATCAAATACATCAACAGACAAAAATATTTAACATTATTAATGAAGATCACGTAACCTGTCAGGATAACCCAGCAACAAGTATTGATAATAGTACACATACAACAACTACAACTAATGATACTATTGGCAATTCCTCATTCATTATTTATAACGTAAACATAAACTTAGTTTATACACTCTCACTTATATTTCAGGAAACACTCACTAAATATACTGGTACAGATCCCACACAAAGACCACAAATACGGAAAATCAACACATCAAAGGAAGTAAGAAAAACATTAAATTATGTAAACACTCACTTACTACCAAACTACATTCATTCAATTTCTTCCCTTTTAGACATTCATACATTGGTTTATGCTGGGCAGTCTTAGTAGTAACACACCATGGTCTGAAAATACAATTGCAGACAGATACACAAAACACAATTCTATCACAAGCTTTCTCGGCACAGAAGAATAGAAACACAAATAAATGACATCAGACAGCAGTTAGGCAGGCTGACACAATACAGTAGACCCCCTATAACACATAGATACGTTCCACGTTATACGAATTTCACGTTGTAGGAATCCTTAAATACATGTGCCAATCGCAGCCCGACACGTGTGAAGTTTACGGACTACGGCTGTTTGAAAGGCTTTTTTCATAAAATTAATCGATTCTAGACTAATTAGACTCAACATTTGGAAAACACGTATAATTTTTTGGTAATAATCTGTATAAACTATGCTATAAACAAAAAATTGTAGGATTATTTACCGAGTGTGCACCGTTCGACGTCGCCATTGCTTAGTCTTGTTTTCGTGGCGGAGCAGCGCACCAAACGGCGGCCGCGATTTCTGATAAGTTATTTTTCTACGAAAACTTCGTTGAACTTTGGAGACATCATTAATATATATAATTTTTATGGCCGTTGAATAAGAAATGTTTCTTTCACAAGAAATGTATAAAATTACAGTACTGTATTAGACTTATGGTACCTAATTTACATACTGTACAGGTGATAGTAAACTCAACTTACTCGCCTAAACTCTCCGTAGCGTGGCGCTGGACGGCAGAAAGTATATATATATAAATAGCTTACCCATCGCGCATTGCTGCGATCTCAGAAGAAGTGAAATTCAAGCAAACTCGTTATGATAAAATTCAATTTACATTTTATCATTTTTATTGAAACTTATTATAATATTATTATTATTATTTATTTTCATCG